TCGTTTTCACGCAACAAATATCTGAAAATTTCTGATAATCGCATTTCGTTTTATCTGAAAACTCCTGATAGTAGCATTTCGTTTCTCTGATATTTCGCATACATAGCTGAAAATTTCTGATGTTAATATTTCGTTTTCTAGGCATATTTGGATAACGATAGAAGTGGTCATCTTCTCGGAAACCGGATTTATTCTTTTCTGAAAATCAAATTTCCAGTCTATCTCGCAAATTTTTTTTTACAACCGAAATCTTGCGAAGCTTACCAACATTTCGTTAGGCATATGCAGAGGTTGCCATATCTTAGAAACTGGATTTAGTTCTTCTCTGAAAATCGCATCTCTACTCTATTTCGCAAATTTTTTTTTCAAGATCGCATTTTTGTGAAAGCCGAAACTTTGCGGAACCTAGCCTAGATCTCGCTCATAGTACTCTTCTGACATGTCTCACTCATAGCAGATCGACAGATATACAAAAAAAAAAAAAAAAAAGGAAGTAGTCCTCTTTTATTTTGTTATTTTTTATCTGTTGATTAGGGCCAGAAGGAAAGTATTGTTGGGTTGGTTCCCTACCTGTGTTTTCCCTCCCACCCACCCCTTGCATGCATTTCCGAGTTGGTACAGTGCCACATCAGCAGTGCCACGTCAACAATAGTGCCACGTCAGCAGTGCCATGTCAGCAACAGTGCCACGTCAGCAGTGCCACATCAATAGTGCCACATCAGCAGTGCCACGTCAGCAACAGTGCCACGTCAACAGTGCCACGTCAGCAATAGTGCCACGTAAGCAGTGTCACGTCAGCAGTGCCCCACCACCATGACGGACGCAACTCTGGGCATGCCAGGCCAACTGGCCAACGAGTCTCTTGCGAACTACAAACAGCGGTTCCAGACTCAGCTCGCACTGATCGAGGCTGAGGAACAGCGCCAGCTGGCAGCCGAGTCTGCCCGCCTACAGGCTGAAGCAGCAGCAACAGCCGAGAAGCAGCGGCTTCAGGCCGAAGCAGACGCAGATACCAAGGCACGCCGCAAGGAAGTCCAGCATCTGCTACAGCGGCATGAAGCCACTAGCATCGAAAGGCTCAAGTTTTGGCATTTTGAACCATCTGAAGGGCATGACGACGCGACACCGGAGGAGCAGCACAGGGAATTCATGGCCAAACTCGTGACTCGGTTGGTTTACACTTGTAACCACCTGCAGTCCGAGCTGGCGAATATGGAGCGGGCCATGCGGAACCACAAGGCTCAGCATGAGGATGCAGCACGGGCACTTGATTCCCGTATGCAGGACTTGGAGCAAGTTGCACCAAGGCCGGAGGCTGGCGAGTCCAGCAATGCACCCTCTGCCCGCCAACTGGAGCAACGCGTCAACCACGTCGTCGCAATGCTCGGCGACATCAGCACCTTCACTGCTCCAACCACCATCAGCAAACAGCTGGATACATTGAAGATCGAGATTCAGCAACTACAACTGCCTAACAAGGATGGCAACAACACAACGCATTATAAGATGCCGACATTCCAAATTGAGAAGTTCGATGACTACACGCATCAGGACCCGGTCCTCTGGTGGGAAGGTTTTACGACGCAACTGCGGATTCTGTTCGTCGCCAAGCACGCGTACATCGGCGCCTTGTTTCTCAACTCAAAGGGCGGATGCCAGACTTGGTTAAGCCACCTGGCATCCACCCACGATGTCGACGTCGCAGATCTGAAAGACAAGATCTCATAGGAAGAGTTAACAAGGCTATGGAAGAAGCGGTTCATCGTGGACGACGCACCTGCACTCGCCATCGACCGTCTCTTCGGCATGACACAAGGCAACACAGCAACAGTGACTGGATCATGGAATGGCAGAAGATCGCGGCAACGCCCGGTCTCGACTTGCCGTTTTCGCATCTGCGCCGCGAGTTCTACAACACATCATGTGCTGCATTGAGCCTTGCACTTGGTGATCGCGAGCAATATGCAACCTTCGCTGAAATCATTGACAAGGCGAGGGAGATCATCAAGACCAACAGGGCGGCTGCACACGAGGGCACCATGCTAATCTTCTTTGTATTGTTAACGGATGTCCCGGAGGACGATAAGATAATTGTCAGATAGATGAGGGGGAGGCTGAGGGAGGAAGCGGATCATGGTGCATTGAAAAGAAACGAAGAAGGACAACAAGAGTGAGGTAAGGAAGAGATAGATGAGAAGAAATGACAGCGACATGCGGGTGTGCGAATGCAAGAGAAACCAAAGGAGTCGGCAGGAAGATACAAGAGATGTGGTAGCAACAGAAAGACCAGACGGATGTGACAAGAGGTGGGCGAATTGTGTGCGTCCTTTTGGAACTCCATCTGTGTGGCTTCTTCGTGCTTTTCTCTCTTCTTGGGAGCTCCCTTTTGTAGGGGATGAGATGGAGGAGGGGAAGTCTGTGTTTGCAACTCGATTTTGGGGGGGGGTGCACACTCGCGC